CGGGGTCGCCCGTGTTCAGGCTCAGGGCCTGGTCGAGCAGCTCGCACACCATCTTCGCCAGGGCCAGCGGCGCGAAGCACACCTCGTTGACGAGCAGGCCGAACTGCGTGCCCATGAGTTCGGGCTGGCTGCACGGCACGTCGACTGGGTCGGGCGCCCACCTCGGGGTGTAGGCGGAGGGCTCCAAGAGCGAGGCCTGCACGCACTCCTGCAGCTCCATGTGCCTGAGCGAGTGGATGCGGTTCTGCTTCACGAAGAAGTTCATGACCAGAGGGATCCTCAGGTACGGCACCGTGAGGTAAGATGCCAGCGACTCCACATCCGCCTGTCCGAGCAGTTGGTCGAAGTCAGGGAGACTGGGGACATGCAATATGTCGTCTTCCGTCCACACGCGCGCTCCCGCAAGCACCGACGGCTGAGACTTGCTTGGGTACCTCCTCGTAGGGTCGCAAGGTCGGATGGGGAGAATCTGTTTGCCAAAGGCAGCCACGGTGTAACACTGATTCTGCGGGTCGAATTCCCACTGGAGACGTCCATCCTGATCCGCTCGTGCCATCAGCACGTTGGGGCGTTTCAGACTGCCTGCTAGCTGTCTGGTACGACTGCTGTAACTGTCCAAGGGCGCCGTCTCTTAGAATGCACTACCTGCACGGAGCTCCCAGCACGGCCCTGGGGTGCCAACGCACATGAAAGCAATGTGCGTTGTTGTGCTCTTGCTTCGAACGCCATCCTGCCCAAGATTGCTTGAATACTGCCTCAGACCCCCCTGGCCCATCGGGGATCTACTAATCCGGGCCAATCCAGACAAGGGTCAATCAGGCCTTGCAAGGTCATGCAAGATTCCGCAAAATCCTCTACGCAAGCCCGGGTCAGTGCAACCCTGGCCCTGCAGGGTCCCGCAAGATCCGGCGCTCTGACCGACCCCCGTTTGCATGGGCCCCCGTCTCCAGAACCCCGACGTCATGATTTGTTCATACCCTGACCTTCCAGAGACCTATTTTTTAGCACCACTGGAGACCTAAAAACCTAAAAAACTGAGCGAAACAGCCTAAAGCCAAGACGTAGAACAGCCTTGGGATAGGTGTTTAAGTCGCGTGCTATTTTTTAGCCCTCTTGGAAGGTCAGGGTTGTTCATAGCGTCGACCCCTAGAGGTCCCGACCCACTCCCCGGGACGGGTTCCTCGGCCTGTATAATTTGTTTGGCGCTCCCGAGGCCCGGCGAGGGCCCCCACGGAGGCCGAACATAGCGAACACCTCCCGCCGTGGCTTCTTCACGACCCGAGGGGGCCTGGGTTGAAGTCGGGCCTGTCCCCCTAGAGGGGGATTTTCGACGAAACCCGCCGTGGCTTCTTCACGACCCGAGGGGGCCTGGGTTGAAGTCGGGCCTGTCCCCCTAGAGGGGGATTTTCGACGAAAAATAAAAAATCCACCAGAATAGTCAAACAATAATCCAAAAATAGTCTGGAGACCATTTTCTGCGCATTTTTTGACATTTTTGGAATATGTTTGGGGTATTTTTCATTTTTCGTCGACAATCCCCCTGTAGGGGGACAGGCCCGGCCCAGCTTTCGTCGGCAGCTGAAGGGGCCCCAGGACACACAAATGAGCACACACAAATAAAACGATCCCCAATAGTTTCCCCATATTTTGGGTTTTTTTTCGCCTTCCCCCCCACTTCCCATATTTTCCCATATTTTCTGGGGAATCGCCGATTCATTGTGTCTGTGTGTTTTTTTCCCTTCCTGTGGGCAGCGCCGGCGACCGCGGGCGCGCCCGTGCGGAACCCGGCGGGCCGCGCCGGGCACGGCGCGCACGGGGGCGGGCGGCAGAGCAGAGGACGGCCGCGGAGGCGGCAGGAGGGGAGGGGCCCGGCCGCCAACACTTTTTTAGTCTGCGGGTCGGGAGCGGGCCCCTTCCGGTCAAGGGCTAAACGGGGCGCGGGTAGCTCTAATCGGGGAGACAGGGCACAGGCAGGCGGGGCCTCAGGCGGCCGGAGGGCTCAGAAAACAGGCGGCGCCGAAGATCTTGCACAGGACAAGGTGCGCCATGGCCCGGCCGCCAACGCACGCCCCCGATGCGGCCCAGAGACTACCCCGGGCACGCCCGACTAGACGTCGGTCAGAAGAGTTCGTGGCCCCACAGGGAGTCCAGCGATTAGACGTCGGTCAGAAGAGTTCGTGGCCCCACAGGGAGCCCAGCGAAGGTTCCAGGTCCTACTGGCAGGGTCCACGTGGCGGCGCCGCCCCATGTGGGCGCAGCCCTCACTCGGTTCGTGGCTGCATATGGTTGGGTCCTTCGTCAGGCTAATTTTCGGGGCGACTCTGGCCCCAACTTGCGCCCCAAAGAGCGGCCCACACCGGCCCCGATGTCGACCCAGTGTCGACGATGTTCCGATCTGGTTCGGCCCCCGGGCGGGGACGCTCTCGCTTGGGCCATCTAGAAGCTTCTATCCTGGCTCCTTTCGGAACCCTTTTCGGGACCTCCTGAAGACCTTGTTGGCGCGTTTTGGGCCGACTTCGGGCAGTCTTGGGCTTATGTTGGGCAGTGGTGTGGCTATTTCTCGCCTCCTGGAAATCCATCGTCCATATCACTGATCTGGTGGTAATGATGACGGACACCAGTCAGCTACACGGTATACCTGAGCCCACTCGGCGATGGGATGGAGAAGAAGTGGAGCGCAGGAATAAGTACAATACGCAGACACACACACACACACACACCGACGAACACACACACACACACACACACACACACACACATGCACACAAACACTGAAACACACACACACACAAACACACACACACACACGCACGAACATACACACACACACACACACACACTCTCACACACACCCATACACATACGCACGCACGCACTCTGGAATGGGCAGGCGGCGAATGCGAAGCGTCTCGAACCAGAAGGGCCTGATAACGGCAGCGAAATGACAGTCAGCCAGGCACTTCTTCCCGAAAGAAACGAAGTCTACGCCAAAAGAAATCTCAAACAAATCACCCAACGCCGCAACAACCATGCAAGGTTGCGGCCATGATCCGTTACACCATTGTGGCGCTGCCTTCCAGCCTGCCAAAAGACAGATTTACCGAGCCTTTCGGGGGGGGCTCGGTGGAACCATCCCGAATGTGCTTCGGTGCTGCGCTGGACAGTGGCAGTGTCGGCCGCAGGCACCTGGATACTGATAGTTCTTCAGCTTCGGGAAGTTCCTATTCTCGGTAACCATCATGTACTTCCACAGAAGCGTTATATCTCGCCACGCGCCATATTCAGGGCAATATTCGACAGTGTAGGAGTCAAGCATCGCCGACCCTTGGGTGGTCCTGTACAGGTGCTTCTGTATCCTCTTGGCGAACTCTTCACCAACCTGATCTGGAGCCTGCATCGACCATTGGCCCTCCTCCCAGCTCCACATTGTGTTCTTGATATGCAATTCGTCAAAATATGCGATGATGTTGGCACGGGCGACGCACAAGTCTGGGGATGGGATTTCTATCGTTTCTGTTTGCTTCGCGAAGCAGTGGTGGGATATGCCAAAATGATCTGGCTTCTCCCCCAATGCGGGCGCAACAAGCGACCGCTCAAGATCATCTGGAGGCCGCCGGAGCACGGCGTCTATCATGGCACACATCGCCCCTAAAGTAATGATGCGCGTTGTCTCAAACTCGCGCCCGCCAGCTATAGAAAATGCGGATGTACAATATATCGTCGCTATTCGCTGCAATGTCAGGCAAAGGTCAACTTGCAACTTCAGAGTCATGACTCCAGTACCCCACACGTCCAGGAACTGACGCTTGGCTAACGACTCTGGCCCCACCGGAATTGGAAGAACTCTGGCAAACACATCGGTGACGAGGGCACATTTCTGGTAGTGGAACCCCGTATCTCTCATGTTGTCCAGGCGGGCGCATAGCACCTCGCATGTTTTCACGGTGTGCCAGATCGAGCGCACTGCTTGATCGTGAACGGCGCTCACGCGCTCGGGGCCATCGCCAGACACGTGCGTCACACAGCCCAGCTCCCTGACCTCCCTGGGGATGCTCAGGAAGTTCACTGCGGGCTGCTGCCGCTCATCCGTCTCCGCGCCCTCCAGGTTGGATATGTCTTGGCGGACGAAGTACTCGAAGAAGGGGAACATGTCCCAGTCGTCCGCCGAGCGGCCGTCGCCGCAGCCTTCGCCGTGGTCGACGGCTGGGATGGCGCCGCGCGCGGGCTCGGCACTGGCCGCCGGAGGTGCTCGCGGCACGGAGGTGTGCGGCGTGTCGCCGTTCGCGACGAGGTCCAAGAGGGGCGGGGCCGTCCGCTCGAGGCCACCGCCCCTTCTCAGCTGGGCGTCGCTCATGAGCTCGCGAAGAGCCCGCATCCTCTCCAGCGTCCGCTGGGGGTACTCCGCTCTCTTGCGGCCCGTTGTCAAGGCTCCATCCTCATCCTGGCAGCCCTTTGCAGTGGCAAGGGCCAGCTGCTGCAGAATCATCGAGATGAGCTGGGACTCCTGTGGGGAGAGCCGGACACAGTGGCGGAGGTCGTGCTCGATGAAGGAGACGAAGACCTCGCGCAGTCTCAGGGAAAAGAGCTTCGCCCGAGGGCGCGACCACCCGTGCTGCACGCGCAGGAGGTAGTGGAAAGTCTCGAGGTAGAGCCTGTGGAAACAGGCGTCAAAAGGCGTGCGGAAGTCAGTGTCCACCACCTTCTGCGACTTCGCCAGCGCGCACTCCAGCTGCTCCTGGGCCAGCCAAGGCAGGAGGAACTCGTAGATCTTGGACGGGTCCTGCGTCTTTTTTGTCATTGGGACCGTGAACAAGAAAAGCCACCACGCTTCGTCGTGAATGCGCTCGGCGGGGATGTCATCCAGCACCATAACTGTTTTGCACTTCTGCTTTGGGTGCACCCTCGACGTCTTCACGTGAAACTCGCGGCCAATGCCAGTGTTGCAGAGAGCCACCCTCCAGCAGTCGCTGGCCTTCAGCTCGAGGATGAGGAACACAAACTCTGGCTCGTCCTGCCTTGGATTATTCCATGGAACAGGCACCACCATGGTGTCCCCCTCCTTGGAGGCCGCCGAAATGGGGCCAGAGTTCATGGGGCCGGAGGATCGCACCTGATCGCCGATGCTTCGCGGATGCACCAGCGACGTCGGAATGGGGAGAAAAAATCAGGATCCAGATGACGCCGCACCGCTGTTGCCGCACCGCCGATGCACCAGCGAGGCAGTGCGACCCTCTCTTCGGCCCCCGGAGGTCCCGGGATGCCTCGGGAGCCCTCTTGGAGGCCCACGAGGCGGCGGGAGCAGCCCCAGCCAGAGGAGGGATGCCGAACGCGGGCAGGAAGCTGCGGAGGCCCGCGCGGATGTCTTGCGTCGGCGCTGGACCCCCCTCCCCAGAGCGCGGAGCGCGCCAGTGGCAGCGCCGCAGGCAGGCGGCCCCCAGGGGGGGGGGCCGAGCGCCGGTCCAAGAAATCCGCGCGAGCCTCCGAACGCTTCTGCTCACGTTGGGCTTCCTGCAGCGATTGTGGGGGGCCACATGCGAACCCTACCTAAAACGACGCGAAGATCGGGACAAAATCGGATCGGGATAACTCAAAATCTCTGAGAATCGGCGGGTTTGGAGGATGTATTGGGCGCCGCGGCCGCCCCAGAGCGTTCCGGAACGCTCTGAGAGCGCTCCGGAACGCTCTGGAGCGATTTATCCCGATCCTAGCCCTGTTTTACTACCCCTGTCCCCCACGATTTCTGAGGGGGTGGGTGGGGTTCACTTCGTTCGGGAGCTCCCGAGCGAAGCGAGCCCCACCCTCCCCCATCTGAAACCGTGGGGGTAATTAGGGGCAGGGTTCGCATGGGCCCCCCCAGATTGACGAGGCCCCTTGCGTAGGCAGCCTGGGCTCCTGCATGTCCAGGCGCAGCTTGCGCAACAGCCTGGAGCGGGCACGCTGGAGGGGGACCCCGCTCCATGGAGAAACACCCGGCCCGTTCCGGCGGCGCGCCGCAGATGGCTCGGCGACGCGCCCCTGGATAGCGCATCCGCGTGCTCCTGGCTGGGGTGGGCTAGCAGGCCCCTGCCAGCGAAGAATGGGCGACTGGGGGGTCGATCGATCAGCCCCCCCCCCTGAGCATGAGCCTCGTCGTCCGGCTTTCGGGTCGCAGCTCGAAGCTTCCACGGCCGCTCGGGAGAATCCAGGGCACCCCCGGAACGCTCCCGGCGAGGCCTGGCTGCTGGAGGGCATCCCCCGAGGCTGGCAAGCCGCCGAGCATCGACGAACACGCCAGAAAACCTCGAACCTCCCCTCCTCCTCCTCCTCCTCCTCCTCCTCCTCCTCCTCCTCCTCCTCCTCCTCCTCCTCAGCCCACCTGCCCCCCTGGCGTTGCCCATGGCGCCTCAGCAGCGCCACGACCTGGCCGGTCGCCGCCTTCCGGAGGAGCGCCTCGGCACAAGGCGGAGGCTCCCGAGGGAAGCGGGTCCCGGACCCCGCGGCCCTCCCACAGGTCCAGCTCCTCGTCCTGCGCTGTTCTCCGGCGGCCCTGGGGCCAGCTCGCCATCGCTCGGACGTCCATTCCCTGTGTTTTTGTTCGGTTTCGTGCGTGGCTTTTTCGCCAAATGATCAAGGATGCTCCTCGATGGTCCTCGCCGAAGGAAAACACGCACACGTCCGAGCGATGCCAGGCCAGTGGAGGGCCCAGGAAGCCCGAAAGCAGCTCGGGACCTCGGGCCCCGCGTCCCGCAGGACCCGCTTGCCGAATCGCATGAAGAAGCGCAAGACGACATAAGCATACCCATCGGTCGCAAGAAGTAGGTAGAACCATGAAGTAGTAAGGCGTTGGAAAAAGATTGGGCTTCCGCCCGCCTCCTGAAGAGAAGGGAAGAGGGAAAACCACTCGACTCTTGAAGTAGGAAGGCGGCTAAAGTAGGCTGGGAACTGGAAATCCAAAATTACCTACTTTCAACGACCGATTGGAACACTTTCGGAGGCCCGCGCGGATTTCTTGGATCGGGGCTGGACCCCTCTCCCTGGCGCGCTCCGCTCGCGGAGGGCGGCGGCGGAGGCGCCGCCAGGGGTGCCCAGGCTCCGCTCCAAGACATCCGCGCGGAGCTCCAAAAGCCCACGCGTGTGCGGGCCCAAGAAGACACGCCACCTTCACCCCCATTCACCCGGCCTCCTCCGTGCTTCTCTTCCTCTGCTCCTTCCTGGGCCAGGATTTGGACGCCCGAAATGGGTACGGAAAGAATGGGTACAATGCCCAACAACAAATGTTGTCCCAAACCAACCGCGGCCGCTGTTGGGCAGGCGGCCTCCTGTCTCGAATGGACACAGGCCGCGGCGGCGTGGACAGCGAGTCCTGTTCAAAATGAACAGGAGCTGCTGTTGGGCAGTGTACCCATTCTTTCAGTACCCATTTCGCGCGTGCAGATAGGAGGGGCGATGGAGGTGGCGGTGGCGTATACGATTAAGCACCGCAGCTTATGCAGCTCCTCCTCCTCCTCCTCCTCCTCCTCCTCCTCCTCCTCCTCCTCCTCCTCCGCTTCGATGGCACAAGCACCGCGAAAGGGGGCAGCTGCGGGCGGCCGCCGGCGGCCGGCTGCCTGCTCCGCCGCCGTCGCCGCCACCGCCGCTGTCACCGTCATCGTTACCACCGTCGTCGTCGTCGTCCTCGTCGTCGTCGTCGTCGTCGTCGTCGTCGTCGTCGTCGTCGTCGTCGTCGTCGTCGTTGCCGGTGCCGGTGCCGCCGCCGTCGGCGTCGTCGCAGCCGTCGGCGTCGACGTCGTCGTCGCCGTCGTCGTCGTCGCCGTCGCCGTCGTCGTCGCGGCCGCCGTCGTCGCCATCGTCGGGCATGCTGCGGGCGACCGCCGCCGGCCGGCTGCCTGCTCTTCCGGACCCGGAAGAGCGCGGCCAGCTGCCGCAGGTGGCCCGCCTCCTCCGCGGTGAAAGCGGCGGGCTCCAAGTCCTCCGCCTTCGAGCCCCTCCGTGGGCCCTTGAGCCTGCCGGGTGCGCCGAAGACTCGGATCCCATCACGTCGTGACGATTACCCAGGGACGTACCCCATCCGCTCTGCGCGTGTGGCGACTGAAATCGGCACCGCCCTTGAGCCTGCCGGGTGCGCCGAAGACTCAGATCCCCTCACGTCGTGACGACTGCCCAGGGACGTACCCAGTCCGTTCTGCGCGTGCGGCGACTGAAAATCGGCACCGCCTACCTCCACAGGAGTGCACTGACGTGTGTGTGCAGTCCCCTTGAACACCTCGCCACGGAGCCGCGAGGCCTCGGCTGGGTCCGCGTACCCCCCCACCTCCTCCTCCTCCTCCTCCTCCTCCTGCTCCTGATCCTGCTCCTGCTCCTCCTCCTCCTCCTCCTCCTCCTCCTCCTCCTCCTCCTCCTCCTGCTCCTGCTCCTGCTTCTCCTCCTCCTCCTCCTCCGCCTCGGCCTCCTCCTCCTCCTCCTCCCCCCCTCCTCCTCCTCCTCCTCCTGCTCCTGCTCCTGCTCCTGCTCCTGCTCCTGCTCCTCCTCCTCCTCCTCCTCCTCCTCCTCCTCCTCCCCTCCTCCTCCTCCTCCTCCTCCTCCTCCTCCTCCTCCTCTCCTCCTCCTCCTCCTCCTCCGCCTCCTCCTCCTCCTCCTCCTCCTCCTCCTCCTCCTCCTCCTCCTCCTCCTCCTCCTCCTCCTCCTCCTCCTCCTCCTCTTCCTCCTCCTCCTCCTCCTCCTCCTCCTCCGCTGCCGTCCCTCCCAGGAGCCCCCGGAAGTGGCGCCCGTGGCGCACGTCGCGGTCCTCGAGGGGCCGGCGCAGGAGGGGAGGCGGCAGACGGCAGGGGGAGAGAGGCTGGGAGGGAAAGCGAAGCGGGAAGAGGAGGCGTCGACCACAGCGCTCTACTCAAGACGAGAACCCAACACAGGAGGGCTGCGAAGAAAGACGGGGGAGGAGAGGGAAGGTGGAGAGCCCAGTGCTATAACAGGTCAAAACGAGAACACAACCCAGGAGGGTTGGGAAACAATCACGACGCAAGATGTTTGGCAAATTTCGGCCTCTGGGGGCCCTCGCCAAGCCCCAGAACTGTCAAAAAACACGTGAGGGTGCAAAGCCGGTCAGGGGAAATGCGTCGAGACCTCCAAGGGTCCACATCGTGAGCAAAAAACAGAATGTCGGGGGTCTGGGGGGGGAGTATGGACGCAACTCCTGGGAGGTCTTTGTAAGAACGAACAAGGGCTATCAGGCCGGATGGCCATGGAACGTGATCAGCCAAGATCCGGCCGAGGATCAAAACAGCTTAAACGTGATTGGGCGGGTTCACGCGGGATTTGACCGGATTGGGTCGGTCTCGACCACAGATACTCCAGCGCCGATGCTGAATGTAACCTCCCAGGATTGAGCAGGGACCGACCGCCCTGGCATTCCTATAGTCCTACCACGAAATGTTCTTGCAACCCAAAAATGCTCTAAGAACGCAAGCGATGTTCTTAGAACATGACCCCGATGTGATGAAACAAGACAGATTCCGCCAGAAATGTTCTAAGACAATTTCGTGGAGACCACAAAATTCGCCATCGCTCGGACGTCCATTCCCTGTGCTTGTTTCGGTTTCGTGCGTTTTTTTCGGCTCGATGATCAAGGATGCTCCTCGATGGTCCTCGCCGAAGGGAAAAATGCACACGTCCGAGCGATGCCAAGAGAAGGTTCTTAGAAAATTGTTTGGTAGGGCTACAGGCGAGCCAGGACGCTCCGCCACTGCTTGACAGGAATGAAGAGGCCCTGGGACACACAGATAAATACACACAAATAAAAGTAATCCCCATATTTTCCCATATTTGCTGGTTTTTGTCTTCCCCCCCACTTCCCATATTTTCCCATATTTTCTGGGGAGTCGACGATTAATTGTGTCTGTGTGTGTTTTTCCCCTCCTGCAAGAAATTGCACCCTATGGAGGAGGGGTGTCTGGACGGGGCGGGGGTTACCGCGTCACGGCCCGAGGCGCGTGCGCGGGGCGAGAGGGGGCCCCGGACCGCGCACTGCACGACGCACAGTCCTGAGAGGAAGAAGAATACTACAGGGCAGCTTTGAACACATTGGATGTTAAGTTTCTTTTTTAAAATTAAAAAAGGAGGAAAAACAAAAAAAAAAAAAAAAAAAAAACCTTATGATTAATACACGATGATAAAGTTATATGAATAAACAGATGCATAAACTCACCATTGCTGGTAATACGAACTCCCTTTATTTGTCGTACGTGATCCGCACGCGGAGCATGGATCAAAAACGGCACTGTGAGAACGAGACCACTGAGAAGAAGACTGCGACGACGGGGCAGGACCATCGGAAAAAGGTCCCATGGCCCCTGGCATGGCACCCCCCGCCTGCACACCTCCTTCCTCCTCCTCCCCTCTTCCTCCTCCTCCTCCTCCTCCTCCTCCTCCTCCTCCTCCTCCTCCTCCTCCTCCTCCTCCTCCTCCTCCTCCTCCTCCTCCTCCTCCTCCTCCTCCTCCCCCGCCGGCGCCCCCCGAGCCTGCTCTGCTTCTTCTTGCCGCCCTCGGGCTCCCTCGCGAGGTCCCCCAGCAGGCGCTCCATCGCCAGGTCCAGCACAAGCGCGGACCGCTGCACGCTGCCGCCGGCCACCCCGAAGGGCTCCAGGAAGTTGGGGGAACAAAAAATGACATAAACATAACAACTCGGAGGTCCGCGCGGATTTCTCGTATCGGCGCTGGGGCCCCCCGGCGGCGCCTCCGGCGCCGCCACTGGCGCGCTCCGCGCGCCAGAGAGGGGGGTCCAGCGCCGATCCGAGAAATCCGCGCGGACCTCCGAGCTTGTATGTTTATATCACTTTTTGTTCCCCTGGAAGTGGGTCAGGAGGGTCGGCTCCTGCCAGATGGGGGCCGGCTTCTTCGTGAGCTCCTTCAGCGTCAGCGTCTTCCACGACTTCCTCTGGGCAAGTGCGTTCCACTGCTCGCGAAGCAGCTACTCGCAGAGGGCCTGGATCCGCCGCGGGGGATGTACGATACAGTACATTGAGGAGCACGTTTTGTTCGGCCGTTTGCGAGTCAGCACTTGGCCAGTAGTGGCACGTGCCCGGTGATCCTCAGCGCGGCCCGCTCCGACTCCACGCGGACGTTGAAGTTCCGGGAGTCCCTCTCAGCCTTGACCTCCTCCGCCGTGAGTTTCTTCGGGTCGACCTCGCCGAAGCCCAGAGGAAGCGATACCGGTACCGCTGCACCCCAGACATCTCACGGGGTGCATCCTGACCAGAGTTTCGAGGCGAGTCGAGCCGTGGCGACGAGGGCCTCCCAGGAGGCCGACGAAGGCAAAAGCGAGGGAAGAGTGGTGGCGTATGGTGCGCTGGCAGTTGCCACTTCCCCCTACTGAGGCCTGGATTCGCCGGATGCGGAAGTTCCCCGGGACCAGGCCCCGCCTGCCGGGGTCGCCGCTGAGCAGCAGGAGCCCCCCCTTCAGGGCCCACAGCTCGCCCGCGCCCTCCGGGGGCGCCTGCGGCGGTCGCGGCGGCGGGGGCGCCTGTGATCGGCTGCACGCGAGAGTGACCCTGAGCAAGAGTGACCTTTGGTGCGCGGTTTTTTGGGGGGCGCGAGGAGGCCAAACACAAGCGCGCAAGACGCTACTATCGCACAGAGCGCGGCGATCGGGGGACCCCACTGAGCGCCCACCAAAGGTCACTCCGGCGAAGGGTCACTCTTACGCGTAGTCGATGTGAGGAGGGAGGGGGGGGCAGATGCCCTGGCGATGGCAACATGACAGCAGGCTCTGTGCAGTCTCTTGCCAGGTGCTCTTCAACGGGGGGGGGGGGGGGAAATAAACGTGGGGAGAAGAGGCGTGCGCCCTTTGTGGGCCCACGGGTGCAACTTGGAAGCAGTGGGGGCCACTTTTTGCAGCTCTTGACCGCCCGACGCTTATTGACCCCCCAGTTGCTGTCCGCCCGATCTTGGTGACGACGACGCCGTGTCCAGTGCTTGCGACCAAGGGGCCAAAGTGCTCTCCCGACGAACGTTGAGTGCCGCGCGTCTTACTCACACTGTTGTGCCAGTCCTCTGCTGATACTCTTCGGTGGAGGTGTAGGGTCCAGAGAACTGAGCGAAGGACGGGTTATGGCCCTGCCGACGACGTGAGCGCGTGCATTCCCAAATATCCAGCGGCCCGACTGTGTTCGAGACGTTTGCCCCCGGAACCCTCGACCCCTTCGACCCTGGACTGGCTTCCGGTTTTTCGTTGTCGGTCACTGGGGAGGTCCGAGAAGAGCTCCCGACGCCTTTGACTGGATAGATTCGAATCCCTGGAGGTCTGGATTAGGGGGTCAGGAATCGACCCCTGGTCCTCTCCCAGTGCACGGGTTGGCCAGAAGCTCGAGGCGAACCGGCCGCGACGACGAGGAGGTCTCCTTGAGGCCCAGAGGAACCCGAGCAAGCGTCCGAAAGGTCATGTTCACACCATGTCTTCCCTGAGATCCGATTCCGTAGAAAAATTATTACAACATCGCGAAAATCGCGACTGGAACCTTAGACCCCATCATGCTTCTGCGGAGCTTTTCGTGCCAGATCGATCCGCGAGGGCGACGGGGCCCGACACCCGGCGAAGCAGCCCGTCGTGCAAAAGTCCGCCGCCCAGATCTCAAAGTGTGCTTTCGACCAGAGGCCTGCGCTGGCGGAGGCCCCCACGGCGGCGAGTCCGGGTAGCCTCCGCCTGAGACAACGTGCAAAGGGGGATCACCACAAGGGGGGTCGCAACTGCCGCGAGGAAGCGCCATTTCCTCGCAGAAGTGGCGCCCCAAGGTCGCTCCAGAGCCTGCCCCAAACTTCCCAACAGAAACTCGTCGAGCTTCGATCGAGGGGGAGCGTGAGGGGGGGAAACCGGCTCAGCGGGAGATGCATCTCGACCTGGGATCGGCGATGCATCGCCGATAGATCGGCGATGGGGCCCCAGAGCGAGTCCGCACGTTCCTGGACGGGTTGTGCTATCGGACACCTCTCAGCGATCCATGGGCGGTTGGGAGTCGATGCTCCCCCCCCTGAGCCTCTCCCCCCCCCCCCCGCGTCGCTGCTCCCGGCTGATCCTCGAGCGTCGATGTCCGGGGCGGGCTGGTGACCCCCCTTTCTGAGGCAACTCATTGGGAGCCTCCCACATCATCTCGTTGACTCTGGCGGCTCGGCGCTGCTCGACGTCAGTCGACTTGGTATCGACGCCAGTCGGCGCCAGATCGGCGCTGCCCCATCGATCACCAGACGCTTTCTTGACGCTGGCGCACTCCAGAAACGGAGCTACGAGGATGTACAAGGCTCCCACGATTCGCTACTCCAGATTTCGTAAGAAAGGGAGGGGGGTCTCATTTCGGGGGGGGTCTCTTCCAGGCTATCTTGGAGGGCCTGGGGGGGTCTGGGGACGATGTTTTGGAGGGTTCTCCCACGGGGGGGGGTCTGAAATGGCTTGTCTTGGAGGGTCCAGACCCCCTCCCCTTTATTACGAAATCTGGAGTACCGAAGGAGCCGGTGACCCCCAAGGTGGTGACGCCCCCCCCCTGGCACTGCCCGACCGCCGTAGGGCTGGCCGAAGCTGCTCTGCTGGCGGAGCAGAGGGTGCTGCGCCGGGCGCGGCGGCTCCGCCACCTGCGCGGAGAGCGCGAGCTGCTCGTCCACGTACACGTCGGCCTGGAGCGGCGAACAAAATTAAAGGGACCCCAGGACACACAAATAAATACACACAAATAAAAGGATTCCCCATATTTTCACACATTTTCTGGGCTTCTGTCTTCCCCCCCACTTCCCATATTTTCCTATATTTTCTTGGGGACCGACGATTAATTGTGTCTGTGTGTTTTTCCCCCTCCTGATAGAGCGGCGAACAAAATGCCCAGATCACAAAGAGGGCCCCCGAAGGCAAAACTCATGGGCTCCCCGTGTGCTTTTGACTGTTTTGTCGCGTCGTCGTGTTTACGGCTTCCCGGCGCTCCAAGACGACCCCGTAGGCCCCGAAAACCGTCGCGAGACGGCCTAAGAGGCCCACAGGTGGGCACCCAAACAGCCCAAGAAGCCCTCGAGAAGACGGCCCAACAACATCTCACAGACCTTCGACGATGTGAGCTTTGCCATCCAGGCTGGAGACCTCCCAGATGGGGTCTGAGTAGGTGGGGTCTGAGGGTCGCGCCGCGCCGCATCGCCAAAGCATCGCCGAAGCATCGGCGATGCATCGGCGACGTCATCGATGCATCGACGACGTCCGCGTTGAGAAAATCTGACACCACATCGAGCCGCATCGCCGACGCATCGACGATGCGGCGCAATCCTGCGATCCCATCTAAGCGGAACCCCGTTGGCTGGACTCATCGGACCGTCAAACATGGACACAGGGCGAGACCTTGGCCCCTGGAAAGCGGTCGGGACCTCCGGGGCCGCCATTGGGAAAATCACATCCTTCGATCGGCGGTGGACAAACCTCCTTTTGCTAAACCTCCCCTTAGTGAAAACGGCCTGGGGCCGAAATCCACGGACCAGGACCCGCAAAAATGACGGCCGCGACGCCCTCTCGCGAGCCGAAAACGGCCAAGTCCTTAATCGACGTGTCAGTCTGTCCACCCCCGATTCGAGGTCTGCACAAGGGGGGCCTGGAGCACGACGACGTGGCGACCTCGCGCGGTGGACTGCGGCAGCCGGCCAGCGCGCCACGCGTGGAGACGAGGGCGCGCGCACGCGCCCACGGAGCCCCGGGCCATCGGCCCCGTGTCTCTGCGCCGCTCTCGTGCGCAGGAGGGGATCGACCGCCTGCGGAACCCAGCTCGCCGCTGACCAGGAAAGAGCATACGGGGCAGTTTTTAATACATAGTTTTTTTCTTGAAAGAAGAAACGTAGTTTTCATACATAGTTGATATATGAATAAGTTCACGCATGAACTCATCGTTGTTTTGAATGCTGAGCCCCTGCATGTTTAATACATGATCCGCACGCGGAGCATGTATTGAAAACGGCACTGTACGGGGAGCCAGACCAGATTGGCGTGTCGCGCGCGCTTCGAGGACCGAGGACTAATCAGTTTGGAGGGCGACATTTCCCCTTTTGGGGCCACGAGGGGGGCTCCTCGAAGTCCTGGTCGAAACGCACCCCCTGATAATTGGCGTTTCCCATTCAGCTAAGGCCCGCGGGCCGAATTGGCGCGTCGTGGGCGACTCCAGGATCGACATCCAGGTTCGACGACCAAAGCGTGATGCGTTTGAACTTTTTGAGCCCCCCCGAGAAGGCTCCCTCGTGGCCACGGCTCGACTCTCTGGTCGGACCGAGACCAGGCGTCGATTACTATCATGAAGGGGCCCTGGGACACACAAATAAGTACACACAGATAAAAGCATTCCCAATATTTCCCCATACGTTTTGGGTTTTTGTCTTCCCCCTCACTTCCCATATTTTCCAATATTTCCTGGGGAATCGCCGATCAATTGTGTCTGTGTGTTTCTTTCCCTCCTGATATCATACCTACTTGCTCGTGTGCTCTCGCACTGCGTTGCTCCGATCGGCCGATCGCTCGACCGCACGCCTACTGCTCGTCGGGCAACCCTCGGAGGTAAACCGAGACATACC